TTAGTCGGTTCGGTTTAAGAAAATTTCAGCCCGAGTTAACTGAGCCGGCCGCTTTCTTAATTCTCAAAATATATATTTTCTTTCTTCTCGTTAATCGACTAATTTCTCTACGTCTTCCTTAAAATATTTATTATTTCAATTAGTTTACATAGTTCTTTAATGATCCCTTAATAGACATTTTTCTTGCACCAACTTCATAACACATGTCTTTCTTTTTTTATCAAAATAACCCTTTTTGTAATTTAAATGAGTCCAATTCAAAATTGAATAAATCGACCGATCTGATCGATTTAATTTCATTTAGTTTCATTCGGCCTTAAATATCGATTGGTTCATTTCAGTTTTGTCAAAAATACTCAAAACCAACCGAACCGACCATTCGCTCACTCCTACTCCTGCTAGGGATGAGAGAGAGCTTGAGAAGAGGGGCAAGATTGAGAAGGATAGTGAGTGCGGAGAGGAGAGAGGGGAGGAGGTGACCGAGGGGAGCGAGGAGAATGAGGTTGAGGAGATGGTGGAGATAGATGTATAAAGTTTGATTTTTTCTTTTTTGCAAATATTAAAATTTGCGACATTAATCTATAAACATGTGAGATTTGAGGAATATATATATATGAAAAAAAATTAATTTTAACTCTCAAATTAAAAAATAGCAACCAGAAATATTTTGTTCGTAAATTGGATCACTTTTTATTTTTCTTGTCACCAGCATCACTTTTTAGTTCTTGTTCATCGAAGATATCACTTTGTATGATAATTATAATGAAACAATCAATGTTTTAGGGTTATTTCTTATCTATCTTTTTCATTTCTATCAATACTTACAAAACGATGATAATATAAAAGTTTGATGGGGTTAAAATTATCATATTCTTTGCATACATCAACTCTTATTTTAACACTTGGGTCATGATTGTTATATGCGGAAGTTTTAGAAATGTCAATTTTATTTACTTTACAAAGTTCAGAAGTTTTTTGTAAAATTATATATTTGAAGGTTTTTAGTGAAAAATTACATTTTATAAATGCTG